TAAATTAAATTAATTATTAAATACCCGTAAAAACCCGTTTAATAATTATTAAATATTATAATGATGATTAAAATAAAATAAAAAAAGGTGCGTGAATTTATTGAAAGAGCGGATCAAAATTCTGAAAAATACTGATGAATCATTCTCAAGATAAAAAAACTGATAATAATAATTAAAATTCATCAATAAATTTTAATGTTTCTTAATATCGTTCAAAATAATTTATTATTTTAAGGGGAGAAAATAAAAAGATAAAATGAGCATGATCTCTCTTTAAATCTTTAGACTTTATAACTTGAGTAAGCAAAAATCTTGATTTAGTCCAACATATCAATCATACCCTTTAATCTTTAGCTCCAATCTATACATATTTTATTATTCATGAACGATTTAATTAAATACTAGCATTAATTAAATGAATCTCATCTTGCTATTAAGTAACTTCAATGTTAGGTAAAGTGTAACGCTGAATCAAGAACTTCTTCTCTAAGATTTATTTTAAGCTTTTGGGATTTTGAATCTAGTGTTTGTTTCATTATTGATCATAAGCTTTATTTATTGAAATAAAAACTCAAATTGGAAGTGTTTTGATCTCTGTTTTAAAAACTGGATTGGACTGACGGGTTGTACCGATCTGACCAGGACCCGGCAGCTTCTCCGCTCCGGTTCAAGTATTAGAGGGTTTTTTATAATATTTCAAAATTACAAGGGTTAATTTGTATTTTATAGGGGTGTTTTGAAGAGATGTTAAAAGTTTATGGATTAATTAGTAATTTTTTGGGGGTATTTTGGAGATAAATAAAAATTTTAGGGACTAATTAACTTTTTAGGAGAATTTTTGTAATATTTAAGAGATTAATATGTAATTTTTTAAAAATAAAATTGTCGCTGACGTCATCGATCCAACCAGTTAGCCCATGACCTTGGTAGTAAAACGGGTTTCCCTTCGATCCGGGTTTTAAAACAATGGTTTTGATCCGAAAACGAGACGAACGATATTTCAATAATTGTGAATCTAAGTCAAATTGCTTCACATACATGCAATAACACAGCACATGCTTGAAAGAGATCTCTCACTTGAAAATAAAATTTACACTTTGTAAATGACATGCATGCATCCACATTTTAGCTCCAATAATAGCATTTATTAATATTTACAAGTATTAAGTCGATGAGGTGCGACCAATCAGTCACAAAACACGAATAATCAATCACAAAATATAAACGGTTGATGTATATTAACATGACGTATCATGATTAGTTGATCACACATAAAACGTGGATAACCAACAAATGTTAACATGACGTACATAACTAACAAATGTTAACATGACGTACGATGATTGGTTGATTGCGCATAAAATAGAGGGGTAATGCTATGCGTACTAACGGATTTTACTAAGCAGTGTACTAACTTAAAGCATAGTACGGATACCATACACATAGTACGGGTACTATGTGTGATTTTAACAAAGGTTAGTACATTGGTTAGTAAAATCCGTTAATACGCAAAGTATTATTCAAAATAGAGTTACTCAATACTTTCTCTATCCTCATATATGCTAAGTGGCACTTGTATGGTACAATTGAGTTCTATAAAAGCAGCAGAAAGGCCTCTTTAGTAAAGCATAGGCAATAACAAAACATTCCGAGCCAAGCATTATGAAAGTTGGAGCCACAGAATAGCTGGTCCAGTCAACTGTACGTGGTTGAAAATGGACGATTCATACCCAATATTCTCTCTGCTTGCCCATAAATGTTCACCTGGACGTTTGGTCTCTATCAAATTTTTGAGACATTTTGGCCAACAAAAAGGACTTGTATTAACAGCCCACCAAACCCATTTAATGTTACTACCATTCCAACCACAGACTCACTTCTCAAAATTATTTAAGCCATGCCCCAGTCTCCTATAACTTGATCCTCTTCACCAGATGCTTCACACAGTGAGCCACCATGAAGTCATCATCTTCGGCAATTCAGTTGCGAAGCCCTGGCAGTGATTCTGATTGCCCTGCTCAAGCTTATGAACAAAGTATAGTAATTCCCAACAGATTCATCATAGCCGATAGCATCGAGAAAAAGGAACACTCATGGTACACAAAAAGAATGTGTTACATATGTGAACTCAATAACTTGAAATAGCATATTGTGTTGTTACATTACATCTCACCTTTACTTGGTTGTGTTCTACAGGTTTGTCAGTTCTCAAATCCCAACAGATCTATCGATTCAAGTTCAAGATGTCACCTTTAATGTTCACAAGGTAACAATTATAGACAAGAGTTGAAGTATACTGCACAATCATTGAATCCTTCTCTTGCAGAGCTAAAAGAAACTAAGTAAATATCTTGAATATAGAAAATTACTTCATATATTCATATAATAGTCTTGCAAATTGAGACACTGCATAACATTCAAATCCTGCAGATAAGTAGATATCTTCATTACGAAATAGTTGACATTCAATAGGCACTTAGTTTGACGACTCTACTTTCTATAGACAGTTTTCTGGTGTATGACTTGAATGAACTGTTAAGGGTGCAGAACTGTGTATTCCATCATCTGATATCTCATATGATTTTCCTGAAACAGTATCCCTTGGTGTCAAAATGCGGGTACATAGGCCGACTGGAGCTTCAGCCTTCCATCTCAAAGTTTGGGTATGACGTTAAGCTTGAAAACTTCCCAGGAGGACCAGATATTTTTGAGATCATTTTGAAATTTTGTTACGGCCTCCCAATAGACTTCAGCCCTGAAAACATTACTCCACTAAGATGTGCAGCAGAATTTCTAGATATGAGCGAAGAATATGAAGATGGAAATCTAATCTCCAAAACAGAATCTTTCCTAACATTGGTAATCCTTTCTTCATGGAAAGCAACCATTACTGTTCTCAAATCTTGTGAAACTTTATCTCCGTGGGCTGAAAACCTTCAAATTGTCAGAAGATGCTGTGATTCAATTGCTTGGAAGGCTTCAAGAGAAAATTCAACAAACGGAGATATTGTTAATGAAGAAGGATGGTGGTTTGATGATGTGGCTACCCTTCAGATTGATCACTTCACAAGGATTATAACAGCAATAAAGGTGAAAGGAGAAAAAGCAGAGGTAATAGTAAAATGCATCATGCATTATGCCAAGAAATCGTTGCCAGGCATGGAAGTAGAGTTAGAAGGACTAAGAGGATACGGGTATGGAAAGAATGAGCTGCAGTTCAGTATTTTGAATGCAGGAAAGGAGGAAAGGGGGGTTGGACACAAGGAGCAAAGAATGATTATCGAAAGCTTAGTAAGTATACTTCCTCCTCAGCAAGAAGCTGTTTCTTGCAAGTTCTTCTTGCAGATGCTGAAGATGGCAATAGTTTATTCTGCGTCACCAGCTTTAATTGCAGAGCTTGAGAAGAGAGTGGGAATGATGTTAGAAGAAGCCAATGTCAACGATCTTTTGATTCCTAATTATAAAAATGAAGATCAAGGAAAACCATACAAGTGAGTAATCTAATCTCTTTATTCTAAATTGTTTGACACGTGTTAAAATATCCAAAGAGGAACTCTTATGAAGAGATTTCATCATTAACAATTAACTAATTTGCAATATTGTTTATCTGCAATCATGATGCAGTTCACTTGAACGACACACAATGCACAACACTGATGTGGTGCAAAGGATTGTGGAATACTTCTTGATGCATGAACACCAGCAGCAGCAGATGCAACAAAAATTTGGAAAAACTAACGTAAGTAAGATCTTAGACAGTTATCTTGCTGAAATTGCTAGGGACCCAAACCTCTCCATCACCAAGTTTCAAGTGCTGGCTGAATCCTTACCAGACAATGCTCGAACATGTCATGATGGTCTCTACAGAGCCATAGATACCTACCTAAAGGTTACCTATCATTTGTCCATTGTATCTCTCCGAATTTATAGGTTATTCAATTTTTTAAACCTAATAATCTAATATGCTTTTTCAGTCTCATCCTTCTGTACCTGAACATGAACGAAAAAGGCTGTGCAAAATAATGAACTGCGAGAAACTGTCACTTGATGCATGCACGCATGCTGCACAGAATGATCGATTGCCTCTAAGAACAGTTGTCCAGGTAAGTTTCCTAAGGACTTCATACCAGAAATTTCTCATCCCCCATGAACTATAGAGATAACAGAAATTTTGCTAGAATTTTTGAATTATCACTTTGCTGGACATGATTTAAGTACAGAGAAACAGGCCATGTGCTTAGCATTCACCATATGTCATGCAGGTGTTATTTTCAGAGCAAGTAAAAATGAGGACAGCAATGACACGAGGTGAAAATTCAGAACAGGATGAAAACCAGTCATCTACAAGTGTAGAGATCAAGAACCTGAAAGTTGAACTGGAGAATGTAAAGACAAGAATGACAGAGCTACAAGCTGACTACTCCGAGCTGCAGCAAGAGTACGAGAAGCTAAGCAACAAGCAGAAGATCATAACAGGATGGAGTTCAGGTTGGAGGAAGATCAAGGGATCGTTCCATTCAAAAGTCGATCCAGATGAAACTGGTGATCGACAACAGAGACCCAACTCAACTAGCGTCCGAACCAGCTTCAGACGAAGGCGGTCAATAGCCTAAATCTCACTGATATCTCTACATTTTCTGTATAAAAAAATCTGTTTCTATAGCATCTCTTGTAGAAATATATAGCCGAACTCAAAGTTTGTCCTTTTTTTGCAATATATCTCATGTTTATTAAGATAAATAAAGTTCAATCTTTGCCATATAACTATCTTATACAATGTCACTTTACATAACATAATGGGTAAACATTGTCATTTCACACTGAACTAGCTCATTTATATTACCGAACACCATCACACATTGCTATAAATTAAACTCAACTAAACATAAAACTCAAAACTTTCATCAAACATACATAACATAACTGGTAAAGGTTTATCATTTCCACTAAAACTAGCTCAGCACCATCACCATAGGCCATAACATAAACTCAGAAAAGCATAAAAAATTCTGAAACTTTCATTATTATTCAATGAAGTTCACAACAACCCATTATCACAAGAACAACAAAACCTTAATTAAACCATAATTAATCATCCATAAACTCTGATTAATCGATAAAACAAGCATTTTCTACCTCGACCTCATGCTACTCCATGGAAACTTCACAGCTGCCCCGTCATCAACCAACCCCTTCCCCTTCTTCTTCTTGTTCTCTTCACTTCTCGTCTCTCCCTCAAGCCAATGCTGTCTCTTCCCTTCCTCAACAAAACTCGACTTCTTCTCTTTTTTCATCCGCTCCTTTTCATCCAAAATCATCCCAACAGGAAACAAATCTCGCGACAATGAAAGGGGATTCTTTAGAGTGACATAAGCCTTCTTGTAGTCGGGTTTCGCGATCAACACGCCGCCCCGCTTCATCTTCTTTCCCTCCATGTTGAGCGTACGGACCTTCTCGACTTCGAAGCCGTAGAGGGACTCGAGGACCCGTTTGATTTCGATCTTCGAAGCTGATGGGATGGTTTTGAGCGCGATTTCTGAGATGCTTGTTAAGTTTGGGGTGGTGGGCATCAAGAGTTTGATGGGAAGATTTGCGAAGTGAACTACTCTTCTTCCTAGTCTACCCGCCATTGTTGTTGCACTGTGTTTGTGTTTGTGTGAATTGAAGAAGAAAGGTTTATTTGGGGTTTTGTAGTCTGGGCTTGGGCTTGATCTTGGCCGGGGATGATTAAGCCCACTAATTGGGAATTTGAGAATAGTTTTTGAAAGAATGATACGTTACCGTTCAACCTATCAAATCATTTATATGTCTGATTAATGAATAAAACTGCTTTATTTCTTTATTAATTTCAAAGATTATATAACAGAAACTTTATTAGATTCACCCATAAATACACATAGAACCTTTTTATTTTCTAAATAATTGTATCATATATAAAACATATCGTACCATTTATGAAAAATGTTAGTCTTACATAGAGATATATAAAGATATCATACCGTTCACTATTAAAATCATTCGTATGATTCGGTCAGTTCAACCACTCTTCAACATGCTATATTGTATTACTAAAAATGTTATATTAATAGAAAGATAGATTATCTTGAAGATCACTGAAAATGTTATATTAAATAGATTTCGTTAGATTAGAATAAATTTGTGGATATAAATAATTAATATGTTTGGTTGAGAGGAATAAAAGAATTATAAGAAAAGTTTTTTATTGAATTACCCTTTTTTTTTAATGTTATTAATAATATTATATTATTATATTATTAATATAATATAATACTGGTATATTATTAAGGGAGTGTTTGTCTGGGCTTATGAAAATTAGTTTATAAGCAACAAGTGCTTATAAGCTAAAATTAGCTTATAAACATTTGAAATTTTAAGCAATTACGTGTTTAGTTAAAATACTTATAAGTGACTGATAAGTAGTTGACGTGTTTGGTAAAATATGGCTTATAAGTACATTTTATTATAAAATGACTAAAAAATGTACTACATTAAATAAGGGTATACTATGGAATTTTAAAATTAAACAAGGATAATGTAGTAATATATTTGGTCAAATTAACTTATAAGCAGGGTGTTTATAAGCAAAAAAAAAAAAAAAAGTACCTCTCCCCCAACTTATTATTATTATTATTATTTTTTTTTGTGGCTCTTGATGCATGCACGCATGCTGCACAGAATGATCGATTGCCTCTAAGAACAGTTGTCCAGGTAAGTTTCCTAAGGACTTCATACCAGAAATTTTCTCATCCCCCATGAACTATAGATATAACAGAAAGTTCTATAAAAGCAGCAGAAAGGCCTCTTTAGTAAAGCATAGGCAATAACAAAACATTCCGAACCAAGCATTATGAAAGTTGGAGCCACAGAATAGCTGGTCCAGTCAACCTGTACGTGGTTGAAAATGGACGATTCATACCCAATATTCTCTCTGCTTGCCCATAAATGTTCACCTGGACGTTTGGTCTCTATCAAATTTTTGAGACATTTTGGCCAACAAAAAGGACTTGTATTAACAGCCCACCAAACCCATTTAATGTTACTACCATTCCAACCACAGACTCACTTCTCAAAATTATTTAAGCCATGCCCCAGTCTCCTATAACTTGATCCTCTTCACCAGATGCTTCACACAGTGAGCCACCATGAAGTCATCATCTTCGGCAATTCAGTTGCGAAGCCCTGGCAGTGATTCTGATTGCCCTGCTCAAGCTTATGAACAAAGTATAGTAATTCCCAACAGATTCATCATAGCCGATAGCATCGAGAAAAAGGAACACTCATGGTACACAAAAAGAATGTGTTACATATGTGAACTCAATAACTTGAAATAGCATATTGTGTTGTTACATTACATCTCACCTTTACTTGGTTGTGTTCTACAGGTTTGTCAGTTCTCAAATCCCAACAGATCTATCGATTCAAGTTCAAGATGTCACCTTTAATGTTCACAAGGTAACAATTATAGACAAGAGTTGAAGTATACTGCACAATCATTGAATCCTTCTCTTGCAGAGCTAAAAGAAACTAAGTAAATATCTTGAATATAGAAAATTACTTCATATATTCATATAATAGTCTTGCAAATTGAGACACTGCATAACATTCAAATCCTGCAGATAAGTAGATATCTTCATTACGAAATAGTTGACATTCAATAGGCACTTAGTTTGACGACTCTACTTTCTATAGACAGTTTTCTGGTGTATGACTTGAATGAACTGTTAAGGGTGCAGAACTGTGTATTCCATCATCTGATATCTCATATGATTTTCCTGAAACAGTATCCCTTGGTGTCAAAATGCGGGTACATAGGCCGACTGGAGCTTCAGCCTTCCATCTCAAAGTTTGGGTATGACGTTAAGCTTGAAAACTTCCCAGGAGGACCAGATATTTTTGAGATCATTTTGAAATTTTGTTACGGCCTCCCAATAGACTTCAGCCCTGAAAACATTACTCCACTAAGATGTGCAGCAGAATTTCTAGATATGAGCGAAGAATATGAAGATGGAAATCTAATCTCCAAAACAGAATCTTTCCTAACATTGGTAATCCTTTCTTCATGGAAAGCAACCATTACTGTTCTCAAATCTTGTGAAACTTTATCTCCGTGGGCTGAAAACCTTCAAATTGTCAGAAGATGCTGTGATTCAATTGCTTGGAAGGCTTCAAGAGAAAATTCAACAAACGGAGATATTGTTAATGAAGAAGGATGGTGGTTTGATGATGTGGCTACCCTTCAGATTGATCACTTCACAAGGATTATAACAGCAATAAAGGTGAAAGGAGAAAAAGCAGAGGTAATAGTAAAATGCATCATGCATTATGCCAAGAAATCGTTGCCAGGCATGGAAGTAGAGTTAGAAGGACTAAGAGGATACGGGTATGGAAAGAATGAGCTGCAGTTCAGTATTTTGAATGCAGGAAAGGAGGAAAGGGGGGTTGGACACAAGGAGCAAAGAATGATTATCGAAAGCTTAGTAAGTATACTTCCTCCTCAGCAAGAAGCTGTTTCTTGCAAGTTCTTCTTGCAGATGCTGAAGATGGCAATAGTTTATTCTGCGTCACCAGCTTTAATTGCAGAGCTTGAGAAGAGAGTGGGAATGATGTTAGAAGAAGCCAATGTCAACGATCTTTTGATTCCTAATTATAAAAATGAAGATCAAGGAAAACCATACAAGTGAGTAATCTAATCTCTTTATTCTAAATTGTTTGACACGTGTTAAAATATCCAAAGAGGAACTCTTATGAAGAGATTTCATCATTAACAATTAACTAATTTGCAATATTGTTTATCTGCAATCATGATGCAGTTCACTTGAACGACACACAATGCACAACACTGATGTGGTGCAAAGGATTGTGGAATACTTCTTGATGCATGAACACCAGCAGCAGCAGATGCAACAAAAATTTGGAAAAACTAACGTAAGTAAGATCTTAGACAGTTATCTTGCTGAAATTGCTAGGGACCCAAACCTCTCCATCACCAAGTTTCAAGTGCTGGCTGAATCCTTACCAGACAATGCTCGAACATGTCATGATGGTCTCTACAGAGCCATAGATACCTACCTAAAGGTTACCTATCATTTGTCCATTGTATCTCTCCGAATTTATAGGTTATTCAATTTTTTAAACCTAATAATCTAATATGCTTTTTCAGTCTCATCCTTCTGTACCTGAACATGAACGAAAAAGGCTGTGCAAAATAATGAACTGCGAGAAACTGTCACTTGATGCATGCACGCATGCTGCACAGAATGATCGATTGCCTCTAAGAACAGTTGTCCAGGTAAGTTTCCTAAGGACTTCATACCAGAAATTTCTCATCCCCCATGAACTATAGAGATAACAGAAATTTTGCTAGAATTTTTGAATTATCACTTTGCTGGACATGATTTAAGTACAGAGAAACAGGCCATGTGCTTAGCATTCACCATATGTCATGCAGGTGTTATTTTCAGAGCAAGTAAAAATGAGGACAGCAATGACACGAGGTGAAAATTCAGAACAGGATGAAAACCAGTCATCTACAAGTGTAGAGATCAAGAACCTGAAAGTTGAACTGGAGAATGTAAAGACAAGAATGACAGAGCTACAAGCTGACTACTCCGAGCTGCAGCAAGAGTACGAGAAGCTAAGCAACAAGCAGAAGATCATAACAGGATGGAGTTCAGGTTGGAGGAAGATCAAGGGATCGTTCCATTCAAAAGTCGATCCAGATGAAACTGGTGATCGACAACAGAGACCCAACTCAACTAGCGTCCGAACCAGCTTCAGACGAAGGCGGTCAATAGCCTAAATCTCACTGATATCTCTACATTTTCTGTATAAAAAAATCTGTTTCTATAGCATCTCTTGTAGAAATATATAGCCGAACTCAAAGTTTGTCCTTTTTTTGCAATATATCTCATGTTTATTAAGATAAATAAAGTTCAATCTTTGCCATATAACTATCTTATACAATGTCACTTTACATAACATAATGGGTAAACATTGTCATTTCACACTGAACTAGCTCATTTATATTACCGAACACCATCACACATTGCTATAAATTAAACTCAACTAAACATAAAACTCAAAACTTTCATCAAACATACATAACATAACTGGTAAAGGTTTATCATTTCCACTAAAACTAGCTCAGCACCATCACCATAGGCCATAACATAAACTCAGAAAAGCATAAAAAATTCTGAAACTTTCATTATTATTCAATGAAGTTCACAACAACCCATTATCACAAGAACAACAAAACCTTAATTAAACCATAATTAATCATCCATAAACTCTGATTAATCGATAAAACAAGCATTTTCTACCTCGACCTCATGCTACTCCATGGAAACTTCACAGCTGCCCCGTCATCAACCAACCCCTTCCCCTTCTTCTTCTTGTTCTCTTCACTTCTCGTCTCTCCCTCAAGCCAATGCTGTCTCTTCCCTTCCTCAACAAAACTCGACTTCTTCTCTTTTTTCATCCGCTCCTTTTCATCCAAAATCATCCCAACAGGAAACAAATCTCGCGACAATGAAAGGGGATTCTTTAGAGTGACATAAGCCTTCTTGTAGTCGGGTTTCGCGATCAACACGCCGCCCCGCTTCATCTTCTTTCCCTCCATGTTGAGCGTACGGACCTTCTCGACTTCGAAGCCGTAGAGGGACTCGAGGACCCGTTTGATTTCGATCTTCGAAGCTGATGGGATGGTTTTGAGCGCGATTTCTGAGATGCTTGTTAAGTTTGGGGTGGTGGGCATCAAGAGTTTGATGGGAAGATTTGCGAAGTGAACTACTCTTCTTCCTAGTCTACCCGCCATTGTTGTTGCACTGTGTTTGTGTTTGTGTGAATTGAAGAAGAAAGGTTTATTTGGGGTTTTGTAGTCTGGGCTTGGGCTTGATCTTGGCCGGGGATGATTAAGCCCACTAATTGGGAATTTGAGAATAGTTTTTGAAAGAATGATACGTTACCGTTCAACCTATCAAATCATTTATATGTCTGATTAATGAATAAAACTGCTTTATTTCTTTATTAATTTCAAAGATTATATAACAGAAACTTTATTAGATTCACCCATAAATACACATAGAACCTTTTTATTTTCTAAATAATTGTATCATATATAAAACATATCGTACCATTTATGAAAAATGTTAGTCTTACATAGAGATATATAAAGATATCATACCGTTCACTATTAAAATCATTCGTATGATTCGGTCAGTTCAACCACTCTTCAACATGCTATATTGTATTACTAAAAATGTTATATTAATAGAAAGATAGATTATCTTGAAGATCACTGAAAATGTTATATTAAATAGATTTCGTTAGATTAGAATAAATTTGTGGATATAAATAATTAATATGTTTGGTTGAGAGGAATAAAAGAATTATAAGAAAAGTTTTTTATTGAATTACCCTTTTTTTTTAATGTTATTAATAATATTATATTATTATATTATTAATATAATATAATACTGGTATATTATTAAGGGAGTGTTTGTCTGGGCTTATGAAAATTAGTTTATAAGCAACAAGTGCTTATAAGCTAAAATTAGCTTATAAACATTTGAAATTTTAAGCAATTACGTGTTTAGTTAAAATACTTATAAGTGACTGATAAGTAGTTGACGTGTTTGGTAAAATATGGCTTATAAGTACATTTTATTATAAAATGACTAAAAAATGTACTACATTAAATAAGGGTATACTATGGAATTTTAAAATTAAACAAGGATAATGTAGTAATATATTTGGTCAAATTAACTTATAAGCAGGGTGTTTATAAGCAAAAAAAAAAAAAAAAGTACCTCTCCCCCAACTTATTATTATTATTATTATTTTTTTTTGTGGCTTATAAGCTCAAAAAAATTATAAATAAACAAGTCAGCTTAATTTTAGAGCTTATAAGCTAGTTTGACCAACTTATAAGCTTAGACAAACACCCCCTAATTATGGTAAAATTATAACATAATTAATATAACCAAGTAATTTTAGAAAACTAAAAAAGAGGTGGTATTCAGATTATCCCTATATAATCTATTAGTGATTACTATTGGTATTGGAGGATTACCAAAATTTTTTGTTATTTGACAACCAAACATGGTAGTAATGACTATTGGCATTGAAGGATTATCGAAATATTTTATTACTTGATAACCAAACATAGATAATAATAGTAATATAAAATGATATTACTGAAATAATGGGGGATTACGTTCCAATTAAACCCACCCTCAATAGGTTCAATTTAGTTGTAATAAACTAAACTTGATTGAAAGAAACAGTTGTTAACATGAAAACGAATCTTCAAATTGAATGAGCCAGACCGTAGGACCAATGAACAAGGGTGAGCATGGGTAACAAGTAGACCCAAAACCAACCTTTACGGTGTTGGTTCTGGTTCTCTATGGGTGAAACCAATATTGTGCAATTCCGGTTCCGATTCCACCAGTTCAAAGAATCGAAATCGACTTGGTAACCGGAATCAGAACTAAGATTCGAATACCCAGGTTGGAATTGGTTTAGGAACCGGGGGTTAAATGATACTTTAGAAAATAATAAGGGCTATTATGTCATTATGGATATTGAATAAGAAGTTAGGGTTTGCGAATCAAAGATTACAAAGACAATCGCCACCGGCCGTCTTCTTCTTCCTTATTATTAACTTGTATCCCACCAGTACAACAACAACAACAACAAATACATTCAAGATTCAATAACTTGGTGTAAAACTCAATCAAATTATGCCAAAAAATGGAAATTTTATTACCATTTTTTAAGATATTTGAAGGGTTTTGACTGTGGTGAGGAAAAAGAAGATGAAGGGATTGCGAAAGGGTTTGTTTGTGAATTAGAGAAGACGAAAGGAGTGAAAGCATGAGATTAAGAATGTAAAATGATAATTATTCGTATAAAAATTGGAAAGATTTTTTTTTTTTAAATTGAAATAGTGTATTGGCACTTTATGAGAGAAAGACAAGTGTCCTAGTGTAGGCGGGAACAAAATTATATATATTTTGAAAAATACTAAGTTTACAACCTAATTTTACAACATTTTCTTATAACTCTGACTTGACAATAGAGTTGATACTATCACATCAGCTTCCATCACATCCAAGACATTAAATGACTTTAACTAGAAACGAACGGTTATTTCTTCATAAAGAATGATAGGAACAATCATTCATTCAATAAATTATGACTATACCTTATGAAAGAATGTATATACCTTCGTAAGGAATGTCATTCTTGCAATAAGGAATGGTCATTCCCTATTGACGTAACAATATCAACTCAGCTATCACTTTGGGATTGTAAGAGAAGTTTGTGAAAATAGATTATGGGTGTAGTATCACTCATATATTTACCATGATTTTATTATTTAATTACAATTATAATTAATTAGATAATATCAAATGATCATCAAAGACTTCATTTTGGGCCTAAGAAAAATATTATTATTAAAATTATGATATGTTTTCATATTTTTTTTTTTTATTAATTATGTTTATGAGTGGTAATTGTTTTTTAATTTTTAAAATGAATGTGCACTAAAGAAAGTCCATCTACTAGAGTGTCATATAATAACAATAATTATAAGTTATTAATTTATATTTTTGCTATTTTATCAGCAATCAATCCATTCACATAACACACTCAAATTTCTCCTTCTCCACATACAAGTAATTTAGGGGACATCAACATATAATACCTTTCTTATAACAACCAAATTCAAAACACCACCACACTAGATTGGGAGGCTACAGAAGCAGCAGCAATACCTTTGCCCTTTGCCTTACGAATACGATTAAGCCGAATTCCACGAAGTGATTTAATAGCAAACATTATGACACAAATGGCGACTTGTAAACTTCCTGGTTTTCCACTGGCCATAGACAATGCATCCAGAAAACGATTCTCTTCTGCACGTAAAGATTCTTCAAGCTTCTGAGTTAGAGGTGTTGTCTCTGTTTTTAGTTTGTTACCATTACACCGATTAACAAGACGAGAGTTGAGAGCAAATTTTGAATTATAATGGGAGGCACCAGAGCTTGACGAAATCCCACCAGACCTGAGCCATTCATCTTGCCTATTTCGTTCCATGCTCACAGATTTTTCACGTTTCTTTTCAAAATAGCGGCGCCAAGTGGCTTGTATAAAACATGCTGCCCAAGTCCTCCACCCGTCCGAGTAATACCTGTAAGCATGCCGGAGCTGAGACATGTGAAGCTGATTGCGTAGTTTAGAGGCCACAGGCTTCATGTCATCAGCCGTTAGAAAAAGGCTTCAACATCTGTAAGGGCCTAATAGTTCTAGTTGAGAAGGAAGGTCATTAGTTAGGACGAGTCTAGAGCAGCCATGGGATAAGTACTTCTCCAAAAAAGTCACCATCTCTTATAGTGTAGACATAACGAACAAATTCTCGTGTCTAGGCATGCTTAATAGCTGCCTCCCATGACAAAGTGCATCCTTCAATGGCTCATTCTCCCCACTATCCCGTTCCCTGTGTACAGCTGCAGCTTTAGAAGGTTGCACACTTCCTCCAGAAATTGTTTTCCATTTTTCCAAAATTGGCACCTTTAATACATCCATCAGAAAACTAGTGAGAAAAAAAATACATGTTAAAATAAAAATTAAAGGCAGCAAAACTTACTTTCATGAGTAGTTTAAGCCGAGTGCAGTCTTTTGCTCTTGGAGCCCCTGGGAAGATTTTAAACAAACTTTCTACGTCACCGCCCGATTTCTCGGCACCTAGACGTCGATGTCTATATTTCTTGCAGGAGCTCGGGTAGCCTTTAAAACCTGGCCATTTCTATCTCTCGTCCCTTCAATCAATCTCCTCTGATTTTACAAGTTTTGACTGCAGAATATATGTACACAAATCGAAAGCTCAGTTCATTAGAAATAAGGTTTGTATATTGCCTTCATCAAGCATAGGAAATAGAAAAATATATAACCTCATATTTCCCAGGAGAAAGAGGAAAAACACCAAGCCGGATAAGATATCCAAATCGCGAAGACTTTTCCCAGACATAGGAACTTGTTTGGAGGTTCTGACCGAAAGAACTGCAAAAAAATTAAATTAATTGAAATTATAGCCAGTGACGGCACCACAAAAGCGATATATGCTTGAAACAAAGTCAGTTTATTCGTCTAACGGTAAGGTTAATTATGTTGTCCAAGATAACAATTGAAACACACAACACACACACACTCAACACACACACACACACACACAACCACACACACACACACAATATATATATATTATATATATATATATTATATTATATAATATATATATTATTATATATATATATATATATAAATTCAATTCAGAAACATGCATGTTGCCACAGTAACTCAGAAAGTATTGCAAAACAGCTACTGATGCAAGAATATAGATCTAGTAACTCATATAGAAATTCCACATTTCCATCATAAAGAGGAAGAAAAGAAAAGAATCTCTAGCTAATAGGTACAAACCTGAGACTTTGCAGGCCCCATAGAAAGGTATGTAAGAACTTCAGTGGAAAATCTGTCACCTCTACGATACCAGATTGAAGAGCATCCTGGTATATTCCAAAATTAAAGAGAGTTGTATTTGAAATTTTCACAGGACACAAATCGCTTAAAAAGGTGTAGTCTCCTAAATTATCATGACAGTAAAAAGGCGAATGAATGCATCCAGCATGATTTAGGCAGGCTGTCTTCCAGCATGAAGTCTCTCTTTCTATAGCAAAAAAGTACCACAAGGCTCCAAATACCTGAACACAACAGCATATCACTTTCAGATTTCAACTGCTAATTTTTCCTAATTAAAGTTTAACCTTTGTAAAGAATGTACCTCAAACAGATGTTAAAAAGTTTTTAACTTACTTGACTTGCCAGCATGTAAAGAAGAAGATTGAATGAAGCTTTGGTGAATATAGCATCATCAATTTCGTAAAAAGTCATTTTAACTTTTTTGAATAATGGGTAGATCCGTATTAACCTCGGCATGTAGTGGAAGATAACAAAGAAATGCAACAACTTCATTGCATTCCTAGGTGTAAAAATAATCACCTGGACAGATTACAGCACAGAAAATGTTTCTAATTATATGCTATAAATTAACCTGATATAACTGTTTTTGTAGAAAGAATATTTAGTTCTGAGAGAGTAAGCGCTTGCCTGTGGAAGTGGAAGAATTGAAAGAAGGTCAACTGGAAAGAAACGCCGCAAGTATTTCTTTCCATTTGAGGGGGCTCTATGATACAGTTCGAAACTTGGTTGTCGTTGATATGGCAAACAAGCAGCCGGAGAATCAGTACGCAGTTGGAAAAATGTATAGATCAAATAAAAGAAATCCATAAAGGAACGGAGAGCAATAGCCAATTTCCCCAACTTCCTGTCTAATCCAAGGCATTTTTTCTCATCATTGATCACAGGAATGTACAAAAACAAAGGATCCAAGAATATTGCAATCACACACAATATCAGAAAAGTCCAATTCCAGAAAACTCCACGTGGGTAAGGGATTTTATCTCTTATAATAATTATAATAGACAAGACTTTTACAAGAATGTCACTGATGATCGTTTGCTTCGTTTCAAAAGCTATTGAGCCAGGGTAAATTCTTTCTCGTGGTCGCTCGGGCTGCTCAACTTCGGGAATGTCTATAAGGGAACAAGATCCTAGTGATTTATCATAGTTATAATCAGTGAGTCGATCCCTTCCCACAGCTCTGCGGGCTAAGTAACTTTCTTCTTGTGACGGCTCCACCGGCATAATTTGTTCTATGTCCGTACAGCATACACCCAATCGACCTGAAGTACAGACCAAGAAAAGTTAATTAGTTAAGGGAAGAAATAAGAATAAAGACGATGACTAAAAAGTTTACGCTTCTGAAGTTGATGTTCTACAGCTAAACTAGCAAAATTTCAACAATATAACAAGTACACAAACGGTCACCTACATGATAACCAACGTGAAATCCTTGAATTTCTTTAAATTTGTTCTTGAAATAGCTGATCTTTTAAAGAATGAATTCTAGTTAACAGTAGGAGATTCATCTGGGCTTTACATTCATTGAGAACAATACAATCAACAAAGATCACCATTTACAACTCAAATCAACAATCAAAAACACAAAACAAAACAAAACAACCCTTTACAAAACCAACATTATACATAGATCCCACACCATCTTATGAACACTACACATTACAAAATCTCCTTCAAAGTCAAACCAAGAACCGGTCAAGATTATATATGGTTGATTTAAAAGATCATCATAATAAACATTATAGAAGGCAGTAAATGTACCTTGAACTAACAACAGACCATCAAACACAAATGAAGACGAAACAAAAAGATCAAACCCCATAAAAAAATGAAATCAAAAAGAAAAAGAAGTAAAAGGGTGATCAAAAGCAGACCTTCAAAAGCCTCTCGGAGTTGATCAGCATTTTCGATTGCAGGGGGAGTCTGAGATGGAACTTTAAGGGTGGCCATTGTTGAGTGTGTTTGTAGACAAAAGAAAACGTTTGAGATGATGGAGAAGTATGAGTTATTTTATAGTGAAAGAATAGAGTTTTGCGTTTCATGACTCATGACGCGTACTGAAACAGTGGTGAAAGGCGCACCGACACTGCGGCGAAAGGCGTAGGGAGCTGTGGATGGTGAAAAGGGATTGATAAGGTTCAACGTTCAAATTTTTAATGCTACCTTTACACCATTTTCATTAAGCGAAAGAATAGAGTTTCACGTTTCATGGCTCATGACGCGTACTGAAACAGTGGTGAAAGGCGCACCGAAACTGCGGCGAAAGGCGTAGGGAGCTGTGGATGGTGAGAAGGGATTGATAAGGTTCAACATTCAAATTTTTAATGCTACCTTTACACCATTTTCATTAAGCGAAAGAATAGAGTTTTACGTTTCATGGCTCATGACGCGTACTGAAACAGTGGTGAAAGGCGCACCGAAACTGTGGCGAAAGGCGTAGGAAGCTGTGGATGGTGAGAAGGGATTGATAAGGTTTAACATTTCAACATTCAAAATTTTAAAATTAAAGTTTACACTATTTTTATTACATTTTTAGGGTTCTATTAATACTAATTTTATTATAATATTAAAAATTAAAAATAATTAAAAATTTATATTACTGTAATATATGCCAGTATAATAAAAATGATGTAAAAGTACCACCACTCGATTTCAAAAGGGTCGTGGTTGATGAAGACGTGAAGTCCTGAGATTTCAAAAGGGTCATGGTTGGTGAAGTCCTGAGATACCATGAGTCTCAATTGGGCATACCATGTCCACGTGTGACCTACTCGTAGCATGCCATGGCCCATTTAATAATTAACAATTTCTCTTCTATTTTTTATTTATATTTATTACTTCATATGGAGCATATTTGACGGCAATCTTTTTCAATAAGTTTTAGCTTGATTATTATTATTATAATTATTAGGGTAACCATTTAATAATAGTTTCTGTTTACTTCCAATCATACACCAAAAATAAAATTTACTCGACAAAAAATTTCTAATTATTTAGGGAAATATTAAGAAATATATTTAATATTTGAATTTCAAAACTAAATGATATAAATCTTAACACATGTTATTATATCCTGGACAATATTTTTTTTTTTTAAATTTTAAGAAATATATGTAATTTCAATTAATAAAATTGATACAATGTGTTGTTGTATCAAATGACACATGACATGATGTGTCTGACTTATATATAATTAAAAATTAAGTACTATTAATTTCACTCATTGGAAATTATAGATATGATAGAATATTGCAATTACAATTATACAGGAGCACACGTCAAGCAAAGAAGTTGTTTCTTAATTTTTAATGAACGAGGCATGTACACGTTACATGAATTTGACTAAAGCTAATGAACAGAGTCAAACCGAATCTAATTATGTAAAAAATTGAGTAAACGGCTTTATCCTACCCCAAATAATAGATTAATAACACTTTTCTATCCACAAACTTTTAAAATACTATATTACTATTCAAATTTATATTCTATTTCTAATTCTGGCATCGTTGCAACCCTATACCACCACAATTCTCTTCCATAATTATTACTGAGCAAAACCCCTCAAACCTTACTCTTGTCGACCCTACTAATCACTAAAAATCGAGCAATTAGGGTTTATATAGCTGCCCCTCTCAAGTCAAATTTTGACCAATTACAATCACCAAAATCCAATATTCCACCACTAAAAAACTCATTGGCCTCCCCTCTTTAAAAACTCAAATAGTTTGGAACGAGTTTGCTCTCTATTTGCTGCCAAAATATAAATTTAAGTAATAAAATGGTATTTTAAAAGTCCGGAAAAAATTAGTTGACCCCTTAATTAATTGACCTTAATTTTCCAATTAAAGATTCTATAACCAAATTTTGTGAAATCCAATCATTGCAAGTTGGGACCATCCTAATCATTCTATATGTTTTCAATATCAAATAAAAAATTAATTTATGTCCAAACAATTAATTTATTTTACCTTTTTTTCGGTAATCTAGGACTCTTGCACTAAGTCAGCTCGTTACACTCTAATCAAAGATAAATTGTATAAGCGAGAATACAGTGCCCCTTACTACGATGTGTAAATAGCGATGAGGTAGAGTACATTTTAAGGAGAATCTATGAAGGTATATGTGGAAATCATGTTAGGGGGCAGTCCTTGGCTTACAAAATCCTCAGGCAAGGATACTATTGGTCAACTGTCTATGAAGACTTCGCAAACTTTATGCGAAAATGCAATAAGTGCCAGCAACTCGTCATCATACCATAGGCCCCCTCTGCAAGAGCTTGTCACCCTATCCAGGCCATGGCCTTTTGCCATCTGGTGAATTGACCTGCTTGTGCCTCTACCTAGGGAAAAGGCGGAGTCAAATATGCTGTAGTCGTTGTCAACTACTTCACAAAATAGATAGAGGTTGAACCCTTTGGTGATGATTACGACCAATAAGCTAAAAGACTTTGTCTATAAGAATATCATATGTCACTTCGGCATACCGCATACAATCATTACAGAAAACAGGAAGTAGTTCAATAATGAGAAATTCAAGGTTTTCTACGACAAGCTCGACATTAGGAAAGGGTTCTTGATGATCTACCAACTCTAGGCCAATGGACAAGTTGAGGCCATAAATAAAGTCATAAAGCATACCCTGAAAGCGAAGCTCGACGAATCAAAGGGTAATTGGGCAGACAAACCCCACGAAGTATTACGGGCACACCGAACGACCGCAAGGACCGCGACAGAAGAAACCCCCTTCTCTTTAGCATATGGTTGTGAAGCTATGGCCTCAGTGGAGGTCAGACTTGACACGTTCCGACGCGAAGCTTTCAGTGAAGAAAACAATGAAGCTCTCATGTGCTTAAGGCTAGAACTGATTGAGGAACATCAAAACAAGGCCTAGCTATGTGTTGCCTTATACCAGCAACAAGCCAAAAGATACTTCGATTCAAAATTCAAAAACCAGGATTTCGAGGTCGGGAACCTCGTCTTAGGTAAGATCCTTCCGAGCACTAGGGAGCTAAGTTCCGAAGTACTTAGACCAAATTGGGGAGGCCCTTATCGAATGTCGAAGAAAATCGCCCTAGGGACCTTCCACTTAGAGCTACTGAATGGTTCAAGGATTCCTAAGGGCTAGAATGCTGAACATCTTTGAAAGTATTATCGGTAGCTAGCCTAACTTCAAACTAGTGGAGGCCCATTCAAGCAACAGGGAATTAATCCTCAAGTTGGAGAAACACCTAGCCAAACTCGAAGTTCATTGCTTGAAGAGGCGACCCGATTGTAACTCATGAGCTGAGACTCCTGGGAGGGCAACATCGTCAGAACTTGGGCTCAGAGGGGGGCCAACCCCCACGACTCGGTTATGAACAACTCAAAGAAGCGCTACCCTCTAGGCTTAAAGGAGGGTTTCTTTTTATAACTCTTTATAAGACTAACATTTCTCACCATTTGTATGTCGAAATCCCAAGAGAAAGAAGCAGGAGGATTTATAGTATTGATGAGAGTTGTTATTAGTTATAGCGAGCTCTTTTTCAATCTCATGGGAGGTTTTTCACTAAAAAAAGGTGTTAATGCCAGATTTTGTAAACTTTAGATTGTGTGTATTTCAATTTTGGAGAAAAAACGCGCTTTCATTTGGGGGAGTGTTGAAGAGAACTTAACAATCTACTACTCTTCCATACAATTATGCCATGCCCAAAGAGGTCATAAGCTAAAACACTACTCATTTTTCTTCTATTGTGAAGAAAATTAACTATTACTCAGGTCAAATATTTCATTAAATTGATGAAAGCAAACAGAATCTGCTTTCTCGATTCTATGAGGACACTCCTAAAAATCCGGTGACTCCCCTGCTGCAAAGTAGGATTTACAAGAGACCAAATGGAAACTGTATAATTGAGTAATTGTAATAGAATCTGCCACATTGTAGTGGTTAAGGATTAGGCTTCCTTCTTTTTGACTTTGTATGGATACTTCTGGTAGACTGAGATGCTAGTAACGACAAGGGGAAAAGCTATGAGACAGTACGGTGAAGGTGGTTTCCCTTCAAAAATGAACTGCAGGAAGGCTGTAACAAGAAGTGCAGATACGATGACAAACCCCTGCATGTATGGAATGCAGATTTGTTAATATAAGTTTTTTTATAACAATGACCGAGTATTAAAACATTTCAGAAACCACATCACCGACTTCTTTTATTCCCCTATATTGCGTCCAAAAAACTGTTTACTTGCACAAACTCAAACTTACCTTTCTAACGCCACCAGCATGTGTTGTAACTAGGCCAACCAGAATTCCACCAAGAGCATTTGTTATAACAGGGATCTGAAATGGAACAAAACATTTTTGTTAAATTTTGAGGTGCGTGTGTAAATGTATCGTCATAGCTTATACAACAAAACCAGGAAACTATCAGAGGTTAGCACTTCCATGAACGAACAAGAAGACAAAGCCCTCAGATGTCACATTTTCTATCTAGCCTGAGATGGGGACAAGCATGGTGGGCTCTAGGAAAGGGACAAGGTGTATACATACATACATACTTATTGACAAAAGTCAATGTGCAGTGAACTTGGTGAGAGGACTGTGAAAGGCTCCAGTAAAATGAATAAAGAAGTAAACAGACACCCACTCCAATACTCACAATAGAACTGAATGAAAAAGAACCACTATTGAAAGAGTTTTACTGTCAACTCAAAAAAAGATGTCTGGAGTAAAGTATTATTGGCCGGAAACCAAAATGGCTGTTGAGGATTATCTCAATCAAGCAAGGATACTATATCACCTATAAGCAATTTAGAAGACTAAAGAACCAAACTTCATTCCCCTTTAACTTTGAAGCCCAAATCATTCACACTCCAACTGTAATATTTGAGCTAAGAGTCCACAGTCACTCTTTGTCTTCACCAGCAGAAAAATTTTAAATGATAAGAAGATGCTTACCAAAGTTAGTGGAGTCCACTCATAAAAGAATCCATGTTTTCTTATAGCTTCTCCATCTGGAGATTTAGAGGTGCTAGCTAACAAGCACAGACTACCAACAATAGACATTTCGATAGTCATCAAGTATGAGGAGTGCTTCTTAACCTGTAATAAAAGGAAACATAAGTGAACACAAAATCAGCAAGGGTATAGGATTGCAGAATCATGCAAGGAGAGCTGAGAAGTCTATAGCTAACCTGAGAAGCCCATTGACACAAAGAAGAAGCCAGACCTGATAGGACAGATGCAACCAAGACAGGCACAATCCCGTAGAATAAAATTTGGTCAGGGTTATCAGTACTAGAACCTTTGCTGGAGCCTTCACCAATACTTAGAAGAACAGCTGCCATGATCAAGAGAAATAGGGCCCCAATTTGTTGTATTGATTGCTTCTGCCTAGACATGTTGAGTCCAAAAGTCATTTAGATTTTTGTGTTCAGATGTAAGTCAAAAAGATTTTACTTTCTCCATCAGATACTTTCCAAGTAAAAGTTAGCCTTAATTTACACCAAACACATACACACACACACACACACACACACTCTTCAAATTCTGACATCAAGTCATATTCAAACTTCTAACCAAAAAGACAAGCAACACCCTAATATCCCATCTGTAAATGATAGACCATATATGAAGTTTTTAAACACTGTCAACTGGTTATATAACTCAAAAAATTCCTTTGGTTCAAATTAAGTAAACAAAGAGGAGAATCAATAAATACCTCAATATTATATATGTAAAGAAAGCAGTGAAGAATATTTTTGTCTGATTCAGCATGGAGAAGGTCAGTGAATCAAGATTCTTGTAGGATATCTGCAGCAAGCTATTTTGCAGTGCATAAATAGCTGCAGGAAGTCCGGATGCAGTCAATGAGCCAATCAAAGTCCAATTATTGAATAGTTTCCCCAAAGTACCTTCTTTTGCCAAGAGAATTAAGGCACATATAACCTAATGACATGAAAAGAACTTGAAAGAGAGAAAACATATTAATGAAACAAGATCATATTTGTAGTACAACAATTACCTTTGCTAACTCGCACGTTAAGACAGATGTAGTCACAATGACTTCTCGCCTGTAGGAAGAGCAGTCATGAGTTAATGACTTGCACACATCGTCACAATATGTGTAAATTATTATGCATGGATATAATAAAAGTGCAGAACAAAATCCAAGACCTAAAATGCAAAGCAAGAAGATCTACTATATAGTAATAGCAATGATATATATTAGACAAGAATAGTTCTTTAGTCAAGACCGTCCTACTATACTTATATCAGGACCATGCTTAACCACAATTAGCTTCTTATATCAGACGATCCTGACTAGAGAATTTCCATAATAGACAATATGGATACAATGTTAATGAAGAATTAAATGAGAATGAGCTGTTATTGAGAAAACTATTTGCCTGGAAACAAAGCAATTCCCATTCAAACTGCAAAGCAATAAAGATTCAATCATACCAGACAATTAAATACCATGTATAAATGAACTATTGGATGCAAATGAGCAATTTCTTGAAAAAACTACTTGTCCAATAACATAAAAATTCCCATCTAAATTGCATAGCAAAGGAAGATTCTATGACACCAAATGGTACTAACACCAAGTATGAATCAAACACTGGAGCAGAACAAGCAGTTATAAAGGAAACTACTTTCCCAGCAATTTCTGTGAGAAACATGCATTTAATATGGCAGTTGTTATTCAAACTATCTAGTAATGAAAGTTGTACGAGTACAATCAAATCGTGCAATGATCACGAACAGTAATTGACCAAAATACTCGATCTTTTATCAAATTATGTTAATGACCCATATAATAGAACCACTCAAACTGCAACAAGAATGAAATGAGATCCATGTTTGATACCTTGTGCAACGTTTGGAGATCAGAGGCTGCGCGCCGTATTGAAGAGTGAGAAGAATGGAGTAGAGTAAAACCCTTGAGCTCATTTTCTGCGAGCTCACTGGTGGACTCGTTCCCTTGGTCGCCGCCGGCGCCATTTCCGGCGACTCCGATTTGTAGGATGAGTGTTGGCACTTGGATTTTTTCTGCTTTCCTATGTAATTGAATTGCAAATCGTCGTCTTGCCTGTGAAGAAAAGTATATTCGATTTTACTTGAAAATGGTTTTATTATTATTATATTTTATCTATTTTTAAGTATAAAGAGCATATTTTAAAGGGTACTTTTATGGTCAAAATGAGAACTTTCTCTATTTTCATTTCAAAATTTTCCAATATGTGAAGCCAACAAACAAACCATGGCCCGTCATGACACATGTCACATGATTGGTTCACGACACACGAGGAAATTTATGACGTCAAAATATTACTGATGTGATATTACAGCGTGTTTACATATATAACGTAGTTATATCTAATTTAAGATCGACAAACTCTTGCCCAACAATCTTGTAAAAGAAAGTTTGTATAAATTGGCTATAAGTACAGTGTTACTCTTATGATAATAATATTAGATAGATGATTCTGATGTATATTTTAGATCGGTTTGAGCGATTTCTTAGAGTAAACGATTGTTGCCACTCCAAGTTTAGCGAAATCCCAAATTCATCCCCTTGATTGTATTTATTCTAAATTCTCACCCTTAAATTAATGATTTTGACTTCTGACTTGTGTTATTATCATACCGCCCCCGACCCAACCACTATCACCATCACCATTCAGCCACCACCACCACCCACCAAACCGTCGTTAAGGCCTGATTTGGCCTTTATTCCGATGCCGAGTGACCAATCCAGCACCACCATCAGGATCCTCTCATCTCCCTCTCCAAAAGCTCTCTCATTTCCAACCGCATGCTGTTGTCGTTCGTCGACCACCACAATTTTTTTGTTCGCACAATCACAGTCTATCAAGCCCGATTCCGACGGTTTTCCGACTCCAAAATCCACCATCTCACCACCCATAGACCTACTAGCCTCTCCTCTTAAAAAACCCCAACAACCCAAACCGTGTTAGCACTCCAATTGTCGACAAGTTCCTCTAAGGTTTCTTGCGAGTTTTTTTTTTTTTTTTTTTTTTTTTTTTTGTGAATTTGGGTTTAAATTGGAGTTTTTATGGAGTTGACTAGGTGAATTGGTTATGTTTGGGGAGTGGGTGATTGTTTTGAAGTTTGTGTTGTTTAGGTGTTTTTTTCGGGTCGATTGCCTCTTACCAGCGACTCACTATCCCCCTCCCTTTCTGTGCACACCAGGTGTTCAAGAATTTGTCGCAACGAACACCCAGTCACTTAGACCACCTTTGTAACCACCGACCAGCCCTCACCAAAACAACCTATCAAAACAACAACGCAAGAATCAAGCCAAACTGGCATGAACCAGCGGTTGCAAAAAAATTGATCCAAAAAGTCACAAAAAGAAGCTTTCCCTTGGCGGAAAGAGGCGATCGTAACCGACAACCAGTGAGCAAGTGAGGCAAAAGGAGGCAAGGGTTTTATAGAGCAAATAGAGGGGGTTTAAATGGTGGTGGCAGTGAAGATTTCCGGCTGACAAAACGATTGGAAAAGCGGTTGCAAAGTGGTTGTTTGCACGAAAAAACAGTGGCCTTTTCTAGAAAATAGTGAGTGATCAGGCGACGAGGTGATATGGGTTTTAAACAAGAGATGATGAGGGATCGAATGGTGGTAGCAGCTCAGATTTACAATGACAAAAACGCCCAGAAACTAGCCGAGAAGAATGGAAGTCGAGTAAAAATGCAGGTTGTTGAAATGACCATTTTAGCCTTTAACTATTAAAAAAAGGGTAATGATGTCCATTTAAGGGTGAGAACTTAAAATTTTTGAAACTAGTGGTACCAACATAGGATTTTGCTAAACCTTGGGTGACAATATGTCGTTTACTCGATTTCTTATTCCAAAGTTAAAGTCGGATAGATTGAAAGACTATATTTTTTGAATTTCTTCTAACTTTAAATAAATTCACGACAATGTTCGTAAATGGTATCTTTTAACAGATTTATATTTTTTCTATGGACTCTTATATTATATAATAATCTTAAAAAGCTTAAGTAATAATTAAATTGTGAGTTAAATGGAGGGTAAATTTGTCAGCCCATCAATATACGAAATGTAAAATGCGATTGGGCTGTGGGCCATGGCCCATGGCCCATGAGCTTCGGTTTTGTCTGAGTAAGTGACTGGTCAAATTTGTCATCTGACTTTAGGAGCCATTGAAAGGGACAACACGATGGCACAAAATTTAAATCCCTTGACTTTGGAGCACAAAATCATAAGAGAATCTCTCAAGAACCAAAACGGAACCCAACTTTTTATAATTATATAATAATATATAGGGCGTTTGAGAGTTTTATGATATCATTATAAGAATAAATCACTATAGTAGTTTTGAAGGGAAACTATCGTAGCTGTGTTGAGGAGTTTTTAGTAACAGTTTTTAAAATACTTAATATGTGATTGAGAGTTTATTTTTCAGCGGCTCTAACAGTTTTTTGAAATGATAAATTTACATATATGTCCATAAAAATATCCCAACTCTAAAATGTGATAAAGTCTTCTCATCATTTTTCCTCATTCTTTGCAGCATCTGGAATAATTGAAAAATTGTAACTCCACTTCTTCAAGAAAGGATCTAGAAATGAAATTTTAATAATTTTTTAATATGATTGCTTAAAATTATTTTATATTTAATATGGTTGAAGACGTGCATAGTATGGGTAAACTTTTTTTTATATATATATAATTGAGATAGTTTTATAGTGGATATGATATTTGTGGAATAAAATTTTAAAACTAACTAAAACATCCCGATTTTGAGTGTTTTATAAACCCTTAAAAAATACATTACATTGGTTCTGAGGGATTTTTGAGCCAGTTAAAATCAGTACATAAAAATTCTGGCAAATAATGGTTTTAAAATATCTCAAATCAGTCTAATTAAAAACCCTTCCAAACTAGTAGAAAAAAAACTCCCAAATTGAACCTAGGCGTATATTATAAGTAAAGCCACTTTATTATTATTTAATGTAGAACTAGAAATATACTAAGTTTTTTATGGATATCAATTATTAAAAGATTTATTTCAGAAGTAAAAAAGAGAATTTGAAGAACCAAATAATGGAATTTGGTCGAATTTTGATATAAATTATCTTGGAACAATAAATTTATTTGTCGTATATTCAATTGACGCTAAAAACATCATAGAAAAATCATTATAGACATTTGACATGGTTAATATCTAAGGAATGAAATTCCATAAAAGTTTAACTCATAATGTTGTGAAATAACAAAATTAACCTTTTATTGTACGATGACATTTATTACCATATGAGAATCGAGACGAATGCCTTGACAATTTTAACTTATTTTGCTAATTTATATGGGCTAGCTTCGGTCCCCAAGAGGATATTTATCTAGTATAACAAATCTCATATTAGAAGCGTATTAGGGAGGCCTTAGGCTTATAAATAAGGAGTCTCTTTACCTAATAAGTTAACATTTTGAGTGTGAAACTTCGAGCCTGTAATAAGTGGTATTAGAGAAGATTCGATTTGTCTTTCGATGTTCTGTCAAGCGCCCATATAAGGGCATTCACGTATAATTGTGGGTCTATATGAGAGTGAGGTGGACGGATAGACATGAGGTCCTATCTGTGACAAGAGCGTCACAAGATTAGGTGGGGGAGAATGTAACGAATCTCACATTAGAAGCGTATTAGGGAGGTCTTGGGTTTATAAGTGAGGGGAGTTCCTCCACCTAATAGATTAGTCTTTTAGGTATGAAACTCCCAGACAGACTGTGACACTAGACACACATGCCACAGGCTTTGTTATCCTCTTTTATCGTTGTGTCGGAAGTTTACAATATACTTAGCGACTTAGCATGCATGTATTCGGTCACGTCACACCAATGCAAAACTCTAACAATATATATATATAAAGGTTAATTTCATATTATCGTAATATTAGAACACCAATTAAGTATATATTTATTTATTTCTTAAAATTTTAAGATAAATGGACTATATACTAAATGAAAAATTACATATTTAACAAACCGTTGTATAGAGTTTTGATTTAATTACAACATATTCATTTTTTTTAATATTTACTAATTCGTATTAGTTGTAAAATTTCATTTTAAATAAAAATCTAACAATTGCGAATATCCCAGTTCAAANTAACCTTTTATTGTACAATGACATTTATTACTATAAGAGAATCGAGACGAATGCTTCGACAATTTTAACTTGTTTTGCTAATTTATATGGGCTAGCTTTGGCCCCAAGAGGATGCAGTCTCACGCGCCAAGAGTTTTACACTTAAAAAGTTAATCTATTAGATGGAGAGAATCCCCCTATTTATAAGCCTAGGACCTCTCCAATATATTTTTAATGTGAGATTCATTACATTCTTCCCCACTTAATCTTGTGACGTCCTCGTCATAGGTAGGGTCTCCTGTCTATCCGTTCATCTCACTTTCATGTGGACCCACAATCACACATGAATTCCTATGCGTGAATGCTTGACGGGATATCGAAAAATGGATCGGGTCTACTCTGATATTACTTGTCACAGGTGAGAGTTTCACACTCAAAAGATTAATCTATTAGGTGGAGGGACTCCCCCCATTTATAAGCCCAAGACCTCTCCAATACGCTTTCGATGTAAGATTCATTACACTAAGCACACATGCCATGACTTTTGTTATCCTCTTTTTATCATCGTGTCGAAAGTTTACATTATAGTTAGCAACTTAGCATACATATATTTGGTCACGTCACATCTATACAAAACTCTAACAACTTATATATAAAGGTTAATTTCATATTATTGTAATGTTAGGACACCAATTAAGTAGATATTTATTTATTTCTTAAAATTTTAAGATAAATGGACTATATACTAAATGAAAAAATTACATATTTAACAAAACGTTTTCACTTTTGGGAATATTATTATTAATATTCTCAATAAAGTTAAACAGTAAAATATTATTCTATATTATTCAATTTTTTTTTAAATCCCATAAATTTGTTAATTTAACCAAATACCCCTAAATATTTTTTTAAAAATTGCAAAAACACTCCGGCCACCTTTCGGCGGTGGTAGCCGGCTGTTCGTATTTAATGAGTGGGTTGAGGGTATTTTTGTTAGCTTTTAATATTTTATTATAGGGGTGTTTAGTAAATA